CACGAGGAACTTAAGTTTCCTAAATGTACTCTTAATAGTACGAGGAACTTAAGCTTCCTAAATGTACTCTTAATAGCACAAGGAACTTAAGTTTCCTAAAATGATTTTTAATGGTTTTATTAATTAAACCTTTTCCATTTTACATATCAGATATTAGGACAAGGCCATTAAAAGGCCTCAGTAAAATACCAAACATAAGAGTTTGCCTAGTTCTATTAATAGAACTATATTTACTTTTCAAATTTATTTATATCTGAATACTTCGGTAGCGAGATGGTTCAACCGAATATAGGTTTCTAGGGACTATTAACGTTACCTAGTTGATCCTCCGATAAGCCAACCAGATGTGCCATTCTGATGAAGGCTAAGTCGGTAATTCTAGATAGTGGCAAGTTATTGGTTAAGACAGTAACTAGGGACGTCAAGAGTTTTTTTGTTTTTTTATTTCTTTATTCTAAAGATAGGATTTTATGAGTCTCTCGGATTCGCCCCAGTGAAACATACAATAGTTTCTAATAGAGCGACAACGAAACACTAAATAAAATCCCTTCGGCGGAAACAGTACTGAGAGGATTATATATAGGCAATGTCTCAGCCTCACAATCCCTCAGAGTATTGCTGTTTTCACGAGGCATACCTAACTTTACTAAAAGTCGCATTTCGTTTATTTACTTTGATAATTTCACGATACTTAGAATTTACCCACGCGTATATTTACTCTAAGGCGTTAATATCGCCTTAATAGACCGAATCTTACAGCAAGACACACAATATACAAATTAGAATATACACAGTTAACAACAACGATTCATTGGTAGGATTTTGAGGGAAAAGTTTGGAATTCTTATAGTGAAAGATAGACTCGGTGAAGATACCTGTGATGGGATGTGTATCGTCTCTGCACAAAGCAGCAATCCACATTATTTTCAAGAGATACAATTGATTGTACCTTGTCGAGTGCTAAGCAAACTTTTGGTTCGTAGAAGAACAGAGTATATGCTTCGATAAGCATACGCCTGAGGCCTAGATAATAAAGATACCAATATTGTCATTAGATGCACACCCAAATGCCCTCTAACAGTCATTTCGTCTCTTGGAAGTACTTTCCACTCCCATTACATCCGTTCGCGTTCCTTGTATATGTAGCTCTAGGATTGCAAACCGACAAAATGGGGGACGGCAGACCACGATCCACTTCCCCTAGCCAAAAAAAAATAAAAATTGTAAGCATATCAACACTGGACAATTATTTGTTTTTCTATTGTGTTATTTCAGTGCATAGATAGTGTTCAGATCTGACATATCACGCAGGAATGAGTAGGCTACGATAAAAATGGATGCAGAACAGTGACAGTTTTCTGTACCAATGGATCGGACAAAAATGGACTAATTGTTTGAGATACAAGAGCTGTCTTCTGTTTCAGTCATGTGTTCCATATCGCATAGAAAATCCACACACTGTCGATGATTGCTGTTGTTTGAAGCAAGTGTACGTAGACCCGACAATTAGAAGCAAACAACGAGTGCAATCTACAGCTGAACTCCAAAATCCAATAAATCTTTTTCTTTTTTTAACTTTTCTTCAGATGGAACTATATTTATATTAGCTAATGTATTAACTTGACTTACGTTCTTATGTCTATCTATAAATTAGACATGTGGTCATGAACACTTAGTACTTCTAGTGAAAACTATTCAATAAAAAACAGCTAGAGGTACGTCCTGTGTGATCGAGGATATTAAGGCTCTTACCAAGAGGCAGTCCCGACCATTCTTACACAAGCTACCACTGCTAAATCCTAACTGACTTAAATTGTATCTTAGCTTATATAACTTAGTTTAAAACATTGAAATATCCATCGAAGTTTACACAGCAAAGTTTTTACCAACTACATGCACAGCTCGTGACACTTGCAGTACAGCACCGAGCTATAAATTTGACGAGAGGATGGTAGACGCCGAAATGAAGATAGTCAAACAAGACTATGGTAATGATTGTATTGACGAGTTGTATGGCGTGAGTATTAAAGGCCGGCCTTTCAATTGCTTTATGGCACATAAATCCCTTACAAATAGATATAAAACTCTCGAACAACCAATAGGACAAATATCAAGGTGCTAGTTAAATATGTGGTAAACATCCGCTACCTCATTGATACGACAACGATAAAGGAAAATGACACATGATCTTAACGCAAGCTACCCCGTAACAGAGCACTGAGCGGATGCAGCGAGTGCACACTAAATCAAGCTTCATTAAGCAGCTTGAGTATTCTCATGCTGAGGCCAATTTCTCAACCAACGAGAGTACACTGGAAACACCAAAACCATTTGAGAAAATTTAAACCACTGCAAACCTTAAAAATAAACAAATGAAGATTGCTTTCGTACATTTGCGTTGCGAGGCTACTGAATAGCGCACCATACTGAAAGCTAACCTAACTGGAAGTTATTACCCCGGAAACAGCTACGAGAAAGTATCTTGAATCCTTTTTTTTTGCAGATGCACATTGCGGTCGTGAACTTCTCGCGTCTCGTAAGTCGTTCACTACCGAACCCATCAAACGAGGTACACTTTCTCATGTAATGCATAGGATCCGTAAGATGATCAGAAGGTCGTACTTACAATGACAAATATCTGTTGATATGGATTCCACGGCCTACACGCCGCAGACCCAATCGGTACCACGGAGGTGGGTACGCTACTTAGTAGGTCAGCAAGCGAATACAGGGCACATTCGATGGTATCAGTGTTTTGTCAGCACCGGCCCGAATTGACTCAGCGCATATCCTCCATCGTCGACTCACTTGGCCCAAGCTTTAAACGGGAATTTACTGCCCACTTCTTCCCATCAATCTTTCTCGAACCACTACAACGGCTATGAAAGCCATACCATATGTTCATACATTATAACATACATACATTGTAACTTATCTTTTTTTGTTTGAAATTATTAATATTATTGCTATGGAGGCTAGTCACTTTACAAAAGTGAACGACGATATCATCACTTACGGTCACCTGAGGTCCATGCCGTGGTCTGTTTTTGAAACATTAGTTCAAAAACATATTAACGCTTCTACCAGAGTACTGAGTACTATAAGCAACATCCAGAAGAACCCTCAAACTTCCACTGCAGCTAGTACTCCCTCGCCTACTTCAGGTTCTAATAAGAAAAAACAGCAGCAGCGGGCACCTTGTAAGTGTTTCAATCTCACTGTACGAAATGGTACATGGGTTGGTAGACACGACCTAGAAACGTGTGCTCCAGGCAAGTCAATCTTCGGACATTATATGAATAGTGCTCTACTTGCAGAAGTATCAATAGATGGCACACCGATAATTGCATGGACATGCCGATTGAAACAAGACCATAAATTTCTTTAATACAATATGTACCGAAGGTGATGAATAAATATTTGAATGCGTATAATATAAGTTACTGGGGAGGAAAAAAATACCACAGCTCTGCTTGACTCGTGTAGTCTACGCTCCTGTAAGTAATGAGCGAACTGACTTCATTTTGGATAAGGTAGAGTTTTTACTTCTGAAGAAGCCATCGACTACAAATATCTATTTTTAACTGATAGAAGAGAAGAGAGAGAGAAGGTAATCCGCAATTAACCAACGCACCTTTGTCGAACATAAGCATATACACTCGTTCAAAAACATTCTATGGTGGCATCCTCCTCCATGCTACTCCTGGAGGGGGCTACTCTCCTCAATACGAGGGTTACCAATGTAGACAAATTACCCTGGACGGAGGTTTAGGACCGGACCAGAGGACCGGACCTAGATGAGGATTTTAAGACCGGGCCAGAGGACCAGATCTAAAAGAGATTCTTTCAGGACCGGACTAAGGGACCGGACCAAATGCGAGAGAATGATGACTCAGAAAGTATCATCATAATTTAGTATCTTGGAGACGAATGATGATTCATAGGGTGTTATCATAATTAATAGTAACTAGCAGACGAAAACCATAGATACGGACTTTTTCACAATTATCCGTTGTTAGAAGAAATCTCGTTCCACACAGGAATGTGACAATAGATACAGCAGACGCGCCGATCACAACGGTACTCCTGACTGAGTTCACTTATTTCAGACTTCACACTACATCTTTACTAAGTGTCACTTGGTTTTGACCACATTTTTAAGTGACCGAACTACTCTATTTATTATAATACGTTCTTTGAAGACAATCAACTAAGAAGCAACTTATTTTAGGTTTTTTTAATTTACAATAATGACTGGACCCAATACTAAACTGTTGCCTAAGGTGGGTAAGCAAGTTTGTGACCGGCTGCTGAAATGGTCGCTTGGAGCTTTTGCCAGTTACCATTAGTCTGTGCTAAGGTGGGGGTTGCTTAGAGCTCTTCGCCGGTTACCAAGGTGGAGACAACAATTGCTAAGAAACCGGCACCTGAGGATGACAAGAAGACAGAAATTCATTTGGAATTGACCAGTTTGGTTTCTGAGGCCCAATACTCGATTAAAACCTTGGGTAAGCTTAGACAATCCCCAAACTGGATTTCTGATCAAGAAGGACACTTGGATACGATGATGCATGTGCAGGAGGCCACGGAAAATATTCATCTCATTCAAGAGCAACTCCGCCGACTTCGTGAATTGTCACTGGCGGATATTGATACGTTTACGCCCCATGATACGACCCAGGCGACAGTGGATGATGATAACAGTGCAACAACATTGGGCTCCTCAATACCCAACGCAGGCAGGGTCGACACCAATCGACCAGTCACCTGGCAGTGGGACTAACAACATGAAGCAACTTAGGTGAAACACAGAATTGGCCGCACGAAGCCTGTACCTCGAGTGGCTCCCTACGATAATGTACCTGTTACTCGCAGAGAACGAATGTTGAAAACCGCTCAAAATCGGGCACAAGAAATTCCGACACCTGAGGAGATTCCAATCGATTTTGGGAAGTTAGCTTCGTACGACAATGTCCACGCTTCTCGTAGAGGACGGATGCTAAACTACGCTCAAAATCGAGCATAAGCAATTCCGACACCAGAAGTGACGCCAATCGACTTTGGGGATTTTAATCGTAATCAGGAGTCGTCAGCTGTAGTGAAATATCCTGGTAGAATTTTTTTGGACCCAGCGGACTTACATTTGGACATGGCTACAGCTACCCCATTAAATTTGTCATCATCGGCGAAGCGGTCCTTTGATGCATTTTGCAGAGTGATGAAATCTCCACGACAACCAACAGTCTATTCACGGTCAAGCAGCAGCGAATTTATTCCGGAACAAGTTACAACATCGTCGTCGTCCACAGTCACCAGAAGAGAGGAAGAAGAACTGCCAGGATAATGCAAATGTACCTCTCGATACGCTTGCATATCGCAAACACTTCCCTGTTCACCACGATCGCTACCTAGAGGACCCGCAGGATGTGAAACGATGTAAGATATCACCACCTACAGAGGCGTGCATCATTGAATCTACCGCGGCAGATATGAAAACGCAGGTATTCCATCTCACCCAATGTATGATGCAATCAGAATCTGAGGGGCACACAGAGGACACCCGTTCGTTGCAGGGTTTAATTCGCACATCTAATGAGACGTTGAAGACATGCTCGATAACGGTAGACAAACGGACGCTAAAGGAAGCTATTTTTTGGACAACCCGCAGAAGATACAGCTGCATGCGTTCATTTTGAATTCACAAATTAGACCCGATTCAAGGGCCTACACAGGGCACTTCAAAAAGAAAGGAGCTCCCAAGGCGTTATTGGATTTTATCGTGGAGAACGAACAAAAATTGCAGTCCATGTCGTTTCAGGACGTCACTGCTCATATTGTACGCACATACGAATAAGATCTGAAAGATAACACATACAGAAATGTGGTGGCTTGCATGAAGTTAAACCCTTCGGTGCCACTGGAGACACAACTTCGGAATTTTGAACGCAAAGTAGACTTTATGGAGATGCGACAATATGAGAATCCGCTACAAGTATACCGCAATCATGGTATGCTCAACCTAATAAGTCAAGCTGCGGGGGAGCATAATCCCGCGATACCCTTCGTATGCACCCGAACTGGCGAGAATACTCCGCTGCACAATTGCGTGATGTATTTAGGGTAAATATTGACAAGACAGAAGACCACCGTCGGGCAAATCTTTCTCGGCCGCTACAGATTCCGGGGGGATCACGTTCACGCCCACGAGTGCGTGTGGAGGCGAACACACGAGCTAACCCGCATGCACTGCCAGCATCGAACCCTCGGGTTCGTTGTCGGTCATGTGAACAGAATCTCCCTCCTGGCCCAGCGGACGCACCACGCTGTCCTAAGTTACAGAAAGCAACCATAGGGGGTGCGCCACTACACCGTGTATCAGCTGTGGGTACATCCACGCGTACACAACAGGCGCCGGGTAATAACTTCCGCCTTCGAGTTAATCTAGTGGATGGGAATGATCAGATTCCTGATCCTACGCCAGCGGAGGTAGGTGAGAGTGAGGTGATGCATATTCATGATTTGGTCGACAAGTCATATGTAGACAGCGAAGATGAGTTGATGGAGACCGAGCAAGGGCCAGCCAATTGGGAAGAGGAGATAAGCTCGAATTGAGATGCTGGGGTGTCTGAGTTGAACCCGTGCGTGACGTTTGGTCGTACGGCGACAAGAATATTTGCAGTAAAAGAGAAATTGTTCCCTACCGACAACCGAGTGTATCTTACTTTACAAGTAAACGGACATGCGATGCGCAGCTCATTAACACGGGGGCGAACCGCTCCGTTATCACTCAGGCATCCGCAGAGAAGGCTTATTTCAGACTTAGCACTCTGTACTAAGTGTCAATTGGTTTTGACCACACCAGTTACCACCCTCCACCACTTCCGAAGGGACTACCTCCCCGACTCCGAAAGAGTGTAGGAAGCTGCCCTCCCACGATGCTACTCCCAAAGGTAAGGGACTCCCGCCAAAAGAGGAAGTGTAGGAGAGTTACTACCCTCCACCACTTCCGAAGGGACTCCGGCAGGGAAGGGGGGGGGGTGTAGGAGAGTTTCTGTAGGAATCTAAGTTAAAGTATCCTTCTTATAACTACGCAAGTTGGCGACACAAAGATGGAGTCAAGACCCAAATTGAAGACTGGATAATGAAATGGTCTAATTCAAATCAAATACGATACAACCTCTGTTAACCTTGCGCTCTTAACGGTATATCAAAATAAATCTGATGGAACGTTCAGTGAAACAAGAGTGGTGTTAGACCTGTTTTCAATTAATAAATTAAAACCGCAACTTATTTTTCCCTTTTCTAAAATAAGTGAGATACTACATAAATAATATTATCCCTATCTTTTCCAAGATGGATTTGAAAGCTGTATTTCATTAATTACAATTTACGAACCAAGTAGGAAGTACTTTCTCTTTGCGTGGCAAGGCAATAAGTACCAATATAAAAGTGTACCTGAAAGCTTACATATTTTGAATTCTTTCTCCCAACAAATAACGATGGTAGTATCTCTCGGATAACGCTAAAGTAATGGATGCACCGATCATGCAATACCCAGTAGACGGCATTCCATTTCAAGCAGCAGCCGAAGCTTCAGATCGAGCGGTTAGGGACGTACTATATCAAACTGTATATGGTAACCCACACTACAAGCAATTATAGTAAGAGCTATAACCAAAGTCAACGTAACTACCCTACCCTACCGTTAAATAAGGGTTTTAGTTACTCAGTTCAAAGACTACCTAAACGGAAGATACTTCAATGTCGCCTGTGATCAAAAGGATTTAGCTTACTTCGAAGGCATGAACCATGATTCACAGTTATGGAGTCGCTGTCATGACATAATTGCTAAGTTTGCCTTTAATATAGCAAACATACCAGGAATATATAATATCTTTCTGACATGCTCTTTCGACTTGTTCCTGACTTTTAAAAAAAAAATCACAACGTCAATTGCTTATTAAGAAATGGTTCCGGCTCGGTGAGTCACGCTGGGGTCGATTTACTATTGATATGTTTGCTGCTGAACAAAATAAACAAGTACCCGAATACATGTCGCCGACACACCCTAAGGGTGATGCGTTTCAGCTTGACCAATCTCTACACAATTGTGGGCAGACCCATCATGGCAACTAATATACCAGTTGTTAAATTATGTTAATAACTAAATCTATCATACCGCTGTGCTGTCCCTTACATATCTCCGATCCTTGCATACGTGAGCTTATTGGTATGGTTCAAGACAAACCTATATATGTCGACCGTGAAACCGGCACGCTTTTGTATAAGGGATCCTAATCTATTAAGAGATCACCATAGAAACACGCCATATTTGTCGCATCGGTCCTGCAGGTATCATTAAATGAAGTTGGAAAGGCTCAACCCAATTCTATGCTAAACTAAAAGTGTCTGAGCAGTTTGATCACAAACTCCAGACTTGCACAACACATGCACTCAGCAAGAATGAAATCAAGGTCGTGCCGATGGAAACGGCAATAGGTCGTAAAAACATGAAACTAGCTATGGCCGTGGATGTAGGACTCATTTTTATACGAACCCTAAAGCTTGCACTCAACCACTTAAAGTGCTTTTTAAATGCAAAACAACCAAAGAGGATACTTTTAACAATCTGTCGTTAATAACTATTTATCACAGGAAATAACTCCTACTAATACTGAAGTTGCCTAAGTACCGTGGAAATGGTTCACCCCACCAGTGATACTCATTAGAAGAGCATGAAAGTAAAGTTATGATCATTCACAACTTTGCTCATCGAGCTTACGAGAATACTTATGGGATGGCTATTTGTGAAATGCGATGTATATATCTACCATTTCTTATGTGTGGCTTCGGGCTACAACATGCGTTTTGCAATACCGAGCAAACGCCGGCAAACAATTGCAAAGTTATGCTATCAAGTCTTTAATGACTTCGATTTTCTCCGAGTACTATGCTCTGATAATGATAGCGAGTTCTGTAACGATGTAATGAAGGCACTTATGGGTATGGCCCATAGACGTGGTGTTCCTTATATACATCAAAAGCAGGGTATTAATGAGATACGCAGTAGTGAGGTAAGAAACTCTTGGGTACCGTCCTATATGACGATGAGGATATGTGGCCTTATCATTTGAAATAGGTTCAAACTCAAATGATTAAATGCATGAATTTTCAAACGGGAACACTCCCGTTTCATTATTTCTTTGACGGCTATAGTAAATTACAAGCAACATTTTATAAAGCTGCGCCGGAGGAACACGTTACCCCGTGGCGACAAAAGATTACTCATATGCAGAACTTCGTTTACCCCTGTTAACTCAAGCGCAAAAACCGCATCTTGCTAAAAGCCTAAAAACCGTTGGAATGATACAAAGAACATTGTTCAGTTTAAGTTGAAGATTACATTATCTCTAGTAACAGAAACGTCAACGTTACAGAACTCTGTTCTAAAGATTTTATTTATTTATCTCCTACCACGATGAGGAAAGTGGTACTTACGAAGCTAATAACATAGATGGTACTAACGCCTACATCCTAGATCTCAATTGCCCTCTCATTTGATTTTGAAGTGCCTGTTATGGAGTCATATGTCAAAGATTTTATTGGCAAAACATCCGAATACGGTCACACTTACTACAAACCCCATATTTAAGAGTGGAACAGTAGCATGGGTATCATCCCATGTCTTTTGTGAATCCTGCGACTTCCTTTGAATCTTTTATAAGAAATGGAATACGTGGTTTCATACAAATACATGAGATAAAAGGATGAGAATTCCTCAGGTTGCTGCGGACTCTGATAGATCTGGAATCCCTTCTTTGCCGCCTACTTCATATGTGGCAAAACTATCTGGTCTGCTTAACAAAGTAAAGAATCTTCTTCAAACTTTGCAACTAATAAAGAAGAACCCCTGCCCTTAATCTTACATAAAAAAAAGTATGGCGCCTACATCGAAAATGGTTACTGGACCTAATACTAAACGAAAAAAGAGTGAGTCTTGAACTCGTACATGCAGGCACAAACCTATCTAGGTAGGACATAACCGAAACCGTTTTACTTTGGGTTTCACTTTATAAACTAGATCGTTTTTTCACGGTTGTTCGTAGTTCTAAAAGCTGCTGGGGCTATGTAGAAATACGGCGTCTGGCCATTTATAAAATATCAGGACCAAATGACATAAATTGGTTCCTCTCTGTATTTAAAAATTTAAATACACGTTCATTTTCAAATTATATGGATTGAAAGAACTAAAAACAAGCAAATATTAATTTATTTGTTATTTATTTTGCACTTCAACATGTATACGGCGAAGTTCATACTTTATCGGCGGCCAGCTCACAAAACTGTCAGTATCTCTGACCAAAAAACAAAAACAAAAAGCAGTCATCTACGTGTGATCCAGACATATGGGAATGTCACCACTACCACTTTTTGGGTACGAGCCAGTAAATTGTAAAATTATACTTACGTTACCTTGTCTCACTCGCGTTCACATGTTCGACGCGTTCATTGGTTGCTCCTGGCCGGAAAGCATTAGCCGAAACGCTAGTAGACGAATAAACACTTGTACAGGAAGCAGACCGCAACGTGAAATTATTCCGCACATAGCCCGAAACTTTTGAACTGGTCGGGCACTCCATCATTTTCTCTTTCTTTTTACAGGATGCGCGGGCGGTGAGTAGACATTTCATCATCGGGCCAGCATAGTATTATGCAATGGCAACCTGTGGACATCCCGTCTGCCGAATGGAGTAGTTGGTTCATGGCTTGTTGCTGTCTTGTTAGGGAGTGGCGCTATACTTCTGTATTCCATTTGCTACGGCTTGGAGTTTAGGATGGTTGTTCCTCTCCTGGCCCTCGGGCGCGCCGAGTTAGAGCGGGTCTCGCAGTGTGCATTGTAAATGTAACAAGGCGAACTTACACTGTGTCATCATCCAAAAATACACTGTCACCACTCATACGCCAAAATAGGAAACCAGTGAATAATTTTTTGGTTGACGAAGTATTTCTATCTTTCGACTTTCGCAGTAAGTGTATTACATCTGTTTTACGACGCCCGTGGATGTAATGGAGTCTCTTATGCAGCTGGTTAGACACTCGGAATCTATAGAAATCCTCCAGTATTATATACTTCTCGAACATCCGTGTGCCCCATCGAAACAGATGCATTTTATATTCCTCCACGATTTTCTCAGCGACACTATCCAACGTAGAAGAGTTGCTAAAAGCTTACTGTTGACTTCACCCCAGCTACCACCTGAGCACATTAAAGGCCACGTGATTCTTGCACTCGACTAAACGACCTGCAGCTGTAACCTGACTCGTGTAGTTATAGCAAAGTAAAGCAGAACAGAAGTGTTCATAAGAATAAGTGTGCATCAAACTCAGGTAAGTAGACTTAAAGCTATAGAAGTAAGGTTTTTGTTTAGCTGTGAGGGGGGAGGGGGGTGGTGGTGCATGTTTTGGTATCACCTTCCTTCACCCTTCAGTCACACACGGACACGGGAGGGTACCCTGCTCTAGTAAGCCCATCGGCTTTGTTTATTTACGATTGTAGGCACCCATATATGGACGGCTTGCTGGATCGGTGCGAAGTTGGTATTCCGGCAATGAGACGATGCTCGTAAGTCAATCATATTCAAATATTGGCAACGTACGATAACAAAATGATCAAAATAGAGTTGTAGCCAACTTAGCGCACTTTATCAATACGAGTGGCTACCCTCCAAGCTTTTCGATAAAGTGTGTCCGAGGGCACCAATAAAATCGTCGAAAAGGCGTTGAAATCTTAGCGAAAAGGGTGGCAGCCCTCAATTTGACGCATTTAAGCGAGTGGCGTTTTTGAGAGACATTGGCTGGATCGAAAGCCGATAAAATAAATCAAAATCCACTCCACCATCGCCTACAATATCTAATGCAATTTGTAGCTATTATCAATAAACGCCAGACCGGGGATTCGGGCAGAGGCATCGTGCGTATCTACCATCTGTACAGGTGCAACCACTCATATTGTTTAAGCGCGATCAAGGGTGGTGCTAGACTGCATGCAGACGAGTGCAGGAAATACTTCACATGTAGTGCTGTTGGAAGCACACAGTCCACAGGGAAATATTTCATTGGTGCATCTTTGTCCCTGTATTCGACCGCTTTTAAGGCTTCGTGGCATATTTTAGTCCTGTAGTCATAGCACATTCCGATGGATACTATAAAATGCTGTGAAGCCGTTAATCGCATACATAAAGTAAAAGGTGATTTCCTTTGCACGTCACTAAGCTTTTATATCGCGACTTATAGCTAGGTACGCTACAGTCACATGGATAGACAAGTTATGGACAAATGTACAGTTTTACAGTATGCCTATACTTGTCGATTTATTCCTACTGGAAAAAAAATGAGACGAAAATAATTGATTCAATATTAGGATTTTCAGAAACAGACGAGCCCATCTTATAATTCATTAAAAATGTAAACAAACCTATAAGCCAGACTACAGCCATCAAGGTGGTTTCTGAACAGTAATAAAAAGGAAACAATAAAATATTGTCAAAGAGGCATTTTATCGTGTAATTATATATAACCCATTATTGTTAATTCTTCTAGACGGACCATAATATGTGTTTCTCATCTAATAATTTATTAGGTGCTTCGTCTTAAATACAAACAAATCTATAAGCCAGACTATTGCCATCGATGTGATTTCTGAGCACTATTAAAGGAAACAATACAATATTGCCGAAGAGGCATTTTATCGTGTAATTATACATAGCCCATTATTGATAGTTCTAGGCCACCTAGAAATTGTGCTTCTACACAAGTATCATTCTAGTTATCACGCCCAAGGTGAACTCGGTCAAAACTCGTAGTATCGTTGCTAAAAGCATGTCGGTGAAATTTGATTGATTTCAGCTATCCGGCTTTCAATTTTGTACGACACATTACTGTATCTTTGTTACGCAAAATTGCGTTGTTTTAACTAAAAATCGCCTATCAACCGGGCCTTAGGGTCCAAAAGCTTGGAATAGCAGGTTCTTGTTTAAAAACGGTATTAAGTAAAACCTTGTTTTATCACTCCATATGTTTTAAGCAAGTAGTTCTGAGCAATAATTGTTTTTGAAGCTAGGCCATAGCACCAATACTTCACTATGTATTGCTACCGGCAATATACGATTATCGTACTTCGAATGGCAGTAATGTAGTGTTTTAAGGGTCATAAACTTATTTATAGCATATAAATAGTGTGCATGATCATCCTTATGGTGGCGGAAGCTGTATTAATGAGGGTTATGGCCAATGGTGCATTAAATGGCCATGAGATGGAAATTCCGCATAATGGTATTTAGAGTGCTTCTACCCTAGAATTTGCAATTTATAGCGTTGAACGAACTAATAAAGTGTAAATTATCCATAAAGAGGTTTGGATGATATATGTTAATCTATAAGCACATGTATTGATTCAATTCGTTCACCAACAACAGTTCTGGGTAATAACTTTGCCCAGAGATCCAACTTTTTTGCCTTAGTCTTGCCATATATAAGCTTAGACTTGATTCCTGTGTCTACTGAAAGTCCTCAGGCAAACTTCTATTCTCTTTAGCATACATAGCTTTCAAATTAGGTAATACCGCTTGCCACTTAATCGTGATATCGTCGGAGACCATCTGCTGCAAGTCACTTCGATATTTCTTAGGGAAGGGCTCAGTCGCTTTAGGCTTCTTGGAGTTGACAAGAACGTACTCTTCGCCTCTAGATACTGCCTGAGCTCTTGCTAAGACCTCCCTTTCAACCGCTTCTACCTCTAGCTTCTCTTGGCATCGGCCCATTTTGTCGCTTGTGTCATCGTTGATATTTGTGTCCTTATATCCATTTCACCTGGAAGAGAATAGCGTCCAGGGTACATCAATTTCAGTTGTGCCAGCATAGTTCCCAGCTGTATTTAAAACGAAGCGTCAGCCACGCCCTTACAAGATGTTTCATGTATGATTCGCCGTATTGCTGGCCACGAGGCCTACGTCTCGCCCATCCTTGTGCGAATTTCTTAGGGTGCAAGTCATTAGCAAGATCAATCACAGCAAAAGCCTCACTTCCGTTTCGTACAGCCACAGCAAGGGAGGAGATGAGAGTATTTGCGGATCGAACTTTGTATATCTCTTTCTGGCGTTAATCACGTAGATGGTCGCGCGGACCTAAGATAACACCAAACTTTGATTGCTTAATACATATACATTAGATAATCTTCTTCCCCCCTATCAGGGTCCCCAGGTCCAAATTCGATGAGCTCTGTGGCGGCAACAGTCTCATACTCATGTTCAGGCTCTTGACGTGGTCGACATGGAGCTCAACTGCGACTTCATTTTTGAGCTCTAACTCCGGATTCAATTCATTTGATTCCTGAGCTATCTCACCAGCCTCGAGCACATAATCTGGCCCATCAGGCTCCTGTACATGGTGTGGTGCCTCACTATCATTTTCCGATCTCTCACACTAATTACGCCGTCACCCACACTTTCACCACAAACTTCGACATTCTCCGACTTATTGACTATAGTAAATGCTTCATCACCGAAGTCAACTCGGTAGAGCACACCTGTATTAATTTTAGAATAGGCGTATGTACGCAGATACATCACCGTGTCACTCCCAAGAATCTTCTCGAGGTCTAATTTATCATATTCTTCCAATGCACAATCAATACCTTCGAAGGTTACATCATTAGCTCGCGTAAAAAATATTCGCAGCCGCATCTACTATCTTTTTGGTTCGTTCTAAGAACTCATGTAACCGTCCCTTTCGATCGACCGTGATTAATTGTACAAAGGAGCTCGGTATACCCCGTTTCTAGGCCAATGTCGTTGTTAGACCTTTTGATGTCGTTATTCTTTTATCCTGTTACGCCTCGGGAATTTCATAAAGCTATTAACATGACCACCGCCCGTGCGAAATGAGCGTCTATCAGGCCTTTTGTCATCTTATGTCTCAGTATGCATGTATCTTGCAATCTGTATTGGACTAGTAAGGTTTAATATTCCGATTCCTACTAACTCATTGGATTTGTAACTTTCAGCATTATCCGAGGCAAGAACAGTTGTTGTCATGGGCGGCAGACGTTCTTTGATTGCAAAAAGGTATGCTTCTATTATTGGATATACGCAGGATGTGTCCTGCTTATTCTCACCTTCTAATATTTGACCACCATACACGATGTGCCGCACTGCCGCCTTCTTTTTAACCAACTGCCCGTCTTCATTTTCCTCATCCCATTCTATGTACTCGATGTACATGGACATACATCCGTGCCATCCCACACCACGTTGTCCATAGTGTTCGTGAGTGGGTCTCTCTAGTTGATATAGGGTCGAACTCCAATTTCCAATCAATTGATGTGAATTGTTATGTGCTCCCTTTATTGGCTATGCAGCGATCGGACATGGCTTTCAGGACTTTGTCATAATGTTGTTGCTGATTCTTGACTCTGATAGGATGCCCATAATATATCTCTAATTTATCTCGTCATACCTCAAGTACTTCTAGAGCATCCTGTTGTACATCGGCCCCACCATAGGCACTCCGTCTCACTGTTTCTTTCACTTGTGACACCACCCAGGGCACGAATTTACACCCGATACACTCTTCAACTTCAACAGGTACATTTATTTTACAGGCTTTAAAAGCGCATATTCTAGCCCTCGAGTGTTTACTGCGTCGTCAAGGATTACATAATGATCTGGTTTTTGCTTAATGAAGGCCTTGCCTAGATCCAACATGGAGAGCAGTGTTCGTTCTGTTTGGTCCTCAGCGAAGTTTTCAAGTATAGTCTGCATTGTACTACTACGACCCTAACGAGACAACCTGTGACATATACGACAACATTGATAAACTTTTCATCGTTATTCGCATTAGAGAAAACCACTTTCATGAAGCTTGTTGTTCCAATTTGGTCGTCTTCATCAACAGATACGACATAACCCTTGTAAATAATCTGCATAGGTTTCCGCCGTGTTAATGCCGGCAAGATTACAAGCTCCTCGTATCATATTCTCAAGAATTTAGTGCCCCAAGATATTGAACAGACGTTTTCATCTGAAAGTATGAACTTGATTGCAGCTTCCAGATTTGAGTTGTTAAACCTAGTCTTGCTGCGCTTAACTACCTCCAAGCTGATACCAAGATCCATCGTTTTGTAGTCCACGTAGCCTACATCACGCGACGAGCCGGATAAAGTTAGTTTGCAACACTTCTTCAGAGTATCAATTTCTTTCCTACTTAGTCTCTTCATGAGTATGGTTCTAGTTATCCTCTTCTGCAAAGAGTTTTTAGGAGCTACATTATATATATCAACGACGCTATGTAGTACTCGTCTACCTAGGAACTTACTCTAATCTACGGTCGCCTTGTTTGTAGTACCTAGCTGTAGCAACATCATTCAGCAATTCATCCGGATTCGCAGGATGCACTATATTTGCAATTCGTATTGGTAGCTTTCAACACGATTTGTGACATGCAACTCCAGCTGTGTGGGTGTGTTTTTGTGTGTGTTGCAAATCCAGTGCTGTGTGCACGTAGTTGTGTATTGGGTAGTGCCTTTCTAAAAAATCGGCTCCAGCCGAACTCCTGCGGGATATTTCCTATTGTATTGATGCGACCGGTTTTGTTTGCGCTGATTGTGACGATGGTGGTACTCTCTGAGTGTGTATAGTTACTATGAGGCGCACTATCATTGTCTGATGGGGTCTCGAGCGAGCGTACATACTCCGGAATATCTACACGTGTTCTTTTAGCAGCTATGCGGCCGGATGAAACACGCTCTATCTCGCCTACT